CAGCATTATGGCCCTTGATCAAGGTTATGCATGTCTGAACCAGTATTATGGAAGCCTTGAATAATGTTACTGTACCTGGCCCTGGCATGTAGGCCATGACATTAACTATAAAATTGTTGCCTATTTAACCCTATTTTAGTGGGTACTTTTGCGAGTCAAAATTTAGAAATGGTTGCTGTTAGTGCTACCTGATGTGTGTAAAATTATCATACAATTTGCCAAAGAAGTCTATTTTTATATGTGATGATAACATGATTAAATATTGTTGGTTCACATTAAAACCAAGGAAATTATTGTCTTAGTTTGTAAGTCTGTAATATGTGTGTGTGTGCATAATATTGTTGTGTCCTGGCCCTAAAATGATAGTATTTATAAAAAGAAGTCAAGTACAGTATAACATATGGATTTAAGTTTTCAGTACAGTATTTGCACATGCTTGGTGCCATATGCATGAGTACTGAGACTTCCATTCTACAGTACTGTATTTGTTTTATTACTTGCATTCCCATAGGTGATAACAAGGACTGCCCACACTTGATAATTAATTTACCTATTTGAATTCTTCATTTAATCCCAACTTTTATGATTCTTGTTAATCATAAAACTGCCTTGAACAAGTGTGTATTGACATAATCCCAATTAACTTTCTATCAAATAGATAGAAATGAACAAAATACTCTGAATAAGTCAGTCTAAGAAAAAATTATAACTAACAATATTTTTAACATTTATTACAAATATTAATGCACCAATGTTTGCCTTAAAAAAAAAAAAAAAAACAGTATTGAAGCAGACATGGCACTACACTATATTAATTTACAAAATCATCATAAGGATTTTTTGTGTGGGTCCATTTTGCAAATACTGTACAGTACTGGAACATCAATGGAAGAATTATACAGTACAGTACGTAATTATAATCTTCCATTTTTTCATTGTGCCGAGACTCATAAATAAGGTTAATTTTAGTAATACACTTGTAAATTTTAAACTGTTTATTGTAATACAACTTTCTAAATGAGAATGTCATAAAAAAGGGGTTTAAGGCATTGAAAATAAAAAGCCTGTTTGAGCTTACTTAACCCATCCTAATGAGTACTGTACCGAGGTATTCTCTCTCAAACCTTAAACCACAAGTTGTTCAATATATTTACGTAACTGCTTATAAGGTGGCACATTGTATGGCTGAGGTTATGGTAAGAAAATAAATTGCGCCTTTATTTACCGAACTTGCCCTAATCTCTTTTATTGTCTGTTATCCATGTTTGTTTGTTTTTTCTTCAGATCCAAGGACAAGACAGAAATACTGTATCAAATATTGTACATTTCAGTTTAATTGTGTCCTCACCTCACAGCCTGGACCCTTTAGAATTCTTTCAACATCTCATTTCCTCTTTGGTACAAAATTGTCTACTTCAGTAATTCTCATCATTTGATTCTTATTTGTATTTATTGCTTACCGGTAGACAAACTAATTTACTTTAAACATACAGTACATAAAAATCTTGTTCAAAAATCTTGTTCCCAACAGTACATACAGTATCACCACATACTGTACTGCTTTATACCACATATACCTGTACAAGTTTAGCCCCCACACTGTGCTTTCTCCTTTGTTTCCTTTAATCAGTCCCATGAAACAATCTGATGTATCATGAAAACTAATAAAACTTTTGGCTTTATGGTGTGTGTGTGTGATTACACCCTAATCCCAGACCTGCAGGAACTCCATGTGATACATTTTATTCTCTCTTAATTTCAATTGGCTGGGGTCCTTCTGGTGGAATCTGTGGTGCCTTTACTGTCAGGATCCCATCATAGGAGAGAGAAGACTCCAGAGCATCAACATCCACAGTATCTGGAATCTGGTACTCCATGGATGTCTCATATGAGCACTTGGATGTCTCGGTGGATGTCTTAGCTTGTTCTGTGACAGTCAGGGTTTGAGTATCACCGCTCCTTTCCTTCTAACAATTGCTCCTAAGAAAATAAACACTGTAGCCCATGTGCCTAAGCTTGATGTCACGCTACCTAACATTTTTAATGATATCAGTTATACCCTGTATTCTAATGAAAGCCTGGGTGGTGGCAGTCTACCGTATAAGTAAACTTATACCAAGAGATGTTAAAGAATATGTTTTTTCCAGGTTAATCCATTGAATACAATATAACTAAGCACTGATATATACTGAAAGAAATATATGAGATATAGAAAAAAAGATAAAGAATATTGAAATACATAAATAAAGACAAAAACATTGAAAGAATACGTAGAAAATAATTCGGAAAAGAATTGGCAAGTAAATCAGAAAATCAAAGATATTACAGTATAACTAAGAAAATCAAAGGTTATATGACAAATAATATAGAAAAGAAAGTGATATAGAAGTTGTAATATATATACTTGCATAGAAGACATAGTGTGGGGTTTTGTGATGTTGGTTCACACTCGGGATGGGTTGGAGAAAGGAAACTCGCAATGCGCTCTCTGTATATATATTGTCTTGGATGTACAGGGCAGCTTGGTGCTGGGAAGTTGCTGTGTGGTTGGCAGCGTGGAGTAGAGAGAGCTGGTTGGTGAGGAGCTTGCTCAGAGGAGGTGTTGCGTGTTGCGTGGCTGTAGGTAGAAGAAGGGGCAGGTCATGGCGAGGTGAGGTCTTATATAGCGGAGGTAGGCGTGGCTTGATAGTTGACCTCCGCTATGTTAGGCGGCGCTAGTAGCTGACCTTAGACCACGAGGCGTTGGCTGGGGAATTCAAAAAGGGGTTGGCTAGTCAGCGACAAATGGCAGTTGTAGTTGTAGGGGGAATTTCCAATACAAGCTCATTAGCTCGTTTGTGGTTCGTGAGCTCGAAGTGAAATTTGATATGCCATGTTTTCCTTGTATGAAAATTTTGCCATTTTTCCTGTGCCATTTTTCCAGTGCCATTTTTCCTGTGCCATTTTTCCAAGTACTCAGTAGATCACATGGCCGCTGATGAGTGAATATTACCAGAGTACACTTACATTCGCCCTAAAAATTTCGAGTTTATAATGACCGGAGTCAGCTGTTTCCTAGAACTGTCTCTTCCCGAATATCTCATTTAACCCAAGAAGTTACTGTTGGTGTAGGCTGTCACGTCATATACAGACCTGTACAATAATGATAATAATAATAATAATAATTCAGTCACTTTAACCAAGGACAGCTGATAAAGCCATGGGAGCCTAATTGATTCCAGTAGATTCCTTTTGCCAGCAGCATCTGGTATTCTTAGGTATACATCTCCCGGCATTGCTTAACTTCGCTGATCGGACAAGAAGCGGTGTTTCGAAACAACGTTGTACTACTTGTTGCTTAATGATAACTGCTTTCAAGAACTAGCAATAACCGCAGTAAATGCTTATTGATTGCCATTAAAAAAGGCGTCAGTTAAAATTTTATTTTTGCATGTTACTTATACTTTTATCTTCTTCGCCACTGATCGGTTCGTTTGCCGCTTGGACACGTCTCTTGACGTACTGTTGACAAGTCAGCTAGTTAGTACCAAAAACTATAATAAGATAGTCTTTGGTTAGTCCTTCCAGGGCCGGATTAAGCTTAATAGGGGCCTGAGGCACAGATCAACTTGGGGCCCTCTACCCCTCAAGGTATATATATATATATATATATATATATATATATATATATATATATATATATATATATATATATATATATATATATATATATATATATATATATATATATATATATATATCAAGAAAACAAAATATACCAAATTTTATCAATGATTTCATCAATATTAAGCTTCTGTAAAATAACACATTCAATGTTCATAAGAAACAGAAAATTGAGACGTTGCTAGGACATTGTGGGGTTTTTAATGGGATGTTTGTGTTCACACTCAGGATGGAATGGAGAAAGGAAACTAACAATGTGCTCTCTATATACATGTTGTATTGGATGTACAATGCAGCTTGGTGCTGGGAAGCCAGCATGGGTATAAGCGTGATGTAGAGAGAGCTGATTGGTGAGGATGCTCAGAGGAGGACCAGCTTGTGGGTCGCCATGCTCTCCGGCGGGAGCGAGGACCGCCAGGCAGGCGGAGGAGGAGCGAGGGCCGCCAGGCAGCGGCTGAGGAGGAGGTGTTACTGGATGGTTGGTGTGGGTAGAAAGAGACAGGTCACGAGGTCAGGTCTTAAATAGCGGGGTTAGGCGTGGCTTAGTAGTTGACCCCCGCTCCGTGATGTATGGCGGCGCTGGTTGACCTAGACTACGAGGCATACCCTGGGGAATTGGTGGGGTCGGCTACTCAGCGACAAACAGCGTTTGTAGGGGAGAAATTCACTACAACATCGTTGAACGAAGTTCATGTTTTATATGCTTCAACTTCGAGAATGTTTGGACTTGGGGGGCCCCTTAGAGTCGGGGGGCCTGAGACCGTGCCTCAAGTGCCTCATGTTAATCCGGCACTGAGTACTTCTAAGGTCTGACCGAGCAGGTCCGATATATTCTGAGCTTTCAGCCCAGTACTTACCAATGCCAACAGAGCGATCTGGTCAATGGAAAACCTAACCCAATGCCTAGTCCACTCTGCCCGCTACCTAACGAGCTACATGCTGTCCAGAGGGGGTCTGGTGGCAGCGACCCTTAGAAATTAAGATTAGAGTCAAGTTATCCCCTTAGACTTAGTGACCCCAATTTCAACATTATTATTCAGTGTTACGTCAGTCTCCTCTTATCATCGGAGTGATATACTTTATCAGTCCGATGTTGTCAATCAAGCAATAAAAACAACATCATATCATCACCTTAATTCTGAGTTGCATCAGCTCTACTTCTTCCCGTTTTCTCTTATTCCTTAAATTTGTTCTGATCTTATTATGACTTTCTGGTAGCACATTATAGCCTTGTCATATTTTTACATAAACCTTATTTCTTTTAACCGGCCAATTTTGATAAGAAACTCATTTTATTCGGTAAATTCACTTTTATATTAGCCCAAGCGGCTAACAAGCCGATCAGTGGCGAAGAGGATAAAACTGAAGTCAGAGCCACAGCCGGGGAGTGGAGGCGGCGACGGTACTCCCAACCTGATAGAAACAGACGACAGTTCACGTATTTATCTATTATACACAGCTAATTTACGTAATTTCAACATTAATTCGTGTTGGTAAGTACTGTAAACTTTTTGTACAGTTCGTGTTACTACCTATAGGGTTGTCATAAAGCTATAATGAATTTAGAAGTCTCTATTCACTGCCATGGCTAAGGAGCCGATTACTGAAGAGGATAAAAGTGAGCTGTAACTTCTCTTCTCACCATCATCTGATGACGGTATTATTACACTTGTTGCCACCCAAAGAATGTTGAGTATTTTATGGTTGCAATCAATAGTTAAGACAAATCGGTAATGTATGAGAACACCGCTATCACCAGAAGGAGTTCTAGAATATTCCCCCTAAAAATCACAGTTTCTTATACAGCACCTTTTACTTATTGTTTTGATGTTTTTAAGTATTTGGCCACCTCACTTATGCACGACCTTTTGTTTGATATTAAAATATGTTTTTCCAGTGTTATTTGATGAATTTCGAAAGAATTTGATATTAATTTCAGCCGGAAATCAATAGTTTGAGATCCTCACCCATCAATCCTAACGTAAATCACATAAATAATATACCAACAAAACCAAACCTAACCTGACCTAACCTAGCACTATTTTTCTGATGAAACTCTGCAATTAACATAAAATAATTAATCTTTCCACCTGTTCAGTCATATCTGGTTATTCTGGTACTGAAAAATCAAATCTCCGCATCCACACATTGTTCATTGGCTAAGACAAAAAACTCTTGCCCAATTATAAGTCCCCTATCGCTATAGCCAATAAGAAACCCCCCCCCCCCACACACATGAGCTGTAGATGCTTAAGAAGCCAACACGGAGGTAGGGAGCACTGTGTGATGGGAGGTCAGACCTTCTCTGTGAGCCGTAAACAACAAATGGCGACACTTGTGACTGACCAAATCTAATAATATTGAAAAATTAATATCTCGGTTATCCTTAATTTCCGGCGGAAATATCGTACAGAAAGACCGGTGCATGACTGAAATTTCACCAAGTATTTTAAAAGAAACTTCAGCTTTCAATGATTTTAACTTTTTTAGGATTTTTTTTATGTTGTCTATCCTATAATCATAAATTCCTTGTTAGTGGGTAGGGCATGAAGGATGAGGGAAATTATGGGGGTAAAAAAACAGCAAACACTGATATTATGGAATTAAAATTAAGTCTCTAGGTGCATTTGTGATGCCACAAATTATTTTCTTACCTTTAAAGAATCCGATAGCACGATTTCCCTGCCTCCGCCATTGATCATTGTTGTGAACCTATATAAATTCTGTACCATTAATCCGAATCTTTTAAATAAAATATATACTAATCTTTATTAATTTTACATTACGTTAATACCGGTCAATTGTTCTTTTGTCTAGTTATCAAATGCATTCAGCCTTCTTTTCACATCATCTATATAGAACCAATAAAAGATGTAAGTGTGTCATATTTTTACTTTTACAGGATCTTGTAGACTGATTCCATTCTCTTTTAATTGTTTTGAATACCGTTAACAGTCGTCACAATTCTCTATTAACTGTCTCTCCTCACATTTATACGTATCCCTCAAGGAGGGTGTACAGGGGGTGTACATCACGTGAAACTGCGTATCTTGAACATCATGGCGAATTGCTAAGGTTGTGATTATTCATTTCGTAATTTATCAAACCTAGTTCTTGATGAATCTCGCTTGATATCTTTCATTTGTGACCATGGGTTAATTAAGAACACTTGCAAATGTTCGAAATACTGAAGAGACTTATATTTTGCGAAAAACAACAACTTTCAATGTACAGTACTCCATTGGAAACGAATGTAAACATAGAACAGATTACTGAATTGGCAGAGTAGCCCATCTGCTGACCAGCTGATGCTTGCAACAAAACTTGATTTTCGTAAGGATTTCGTTAATCAAATTTTTGCTCGTTAACGGAATTGAAGATTCTTATGGAAGGTAATTCGTTAACCAAAATTTCGTTAACCGAACCGTTCATTAACCGAGGGACCACTGTAATTACCCAGAATTATGTAGAATTATCTAGTACTATCAGTATTTCATCGATAAATTTATCAATACTGGACTTTAACCACAAAGAGTAATTTATTTGCTCTTTTGTTGTCTGGTGAAGGTTATAAACAGTGTTTATGCTCCGCCCGCTCACACAATTAAGAGGATATTCTCACTGTCCCTTATATATTTATGGAGCATTGATGTTTTGTTTCTTTAAGGTGCATGTGAATATTTATTTCTGGTAATTTAAAAGGGAGTAAAACCTTTATGCTGCATTCTTTTCTATACTGATAGCAGAAGACACATACTGGATACCTACACTCAAAAGAACATTTTTATTTCATGGAATGTTGATGTTTTATTTTATAATGGCAAGCGTGAATATTTATGATAGGTGGCGACCATATACTGTACTGGTATTCACACAACTATTTTTTTTCTTTTATTCTTCTTTGTTGACTGTTTATTTTATAATAGTGTGACTATTATATTACACTTCTGTATATTTACCATTTTTTCTTTCTAAATACTGTATCTCCTTTTAAAATCATGTGCATCTTATATATCAGCAAAAACAGTATTTAATATATCTGCAGGTTGTCAGGACCTTGGAAATAAGTAGACATGACACTGATCCGAGCGAAGCGAGTTGCTTCAGGGATGCAGCGCAGTATATTCAAAGCTGTGTGTGTCCCTGGGAGTCCAGCCAAAATTTCCAGCACCATGGCTCCAGCTTGTTCTCGCTGCTTCAATCGTGGACCACCTTGGAGGCGTGATCCCTTCTCTCAGATGGAAGAGTTCATGAGGGACATGGAGAGGAAATTTAAGAGGGACATTGATAGTAGTTTGAGTTCATTTTTCAGAGAAGTAAGTAAAGTACATTATGGTTTTATAAAAGCAGAAATTAGTGGAAAAACAATCTCACATGATTGCATATGATTCAGCTGATCTTTTGCAAGATTAATATTCCTATCTCTGTGATTCAAGTCTCATCATTGTATGGCAATGATGGAAACAGATAAATTTTCCTGCATATCTTTTATTAAAAGTTACAGTCCCTGGCCAGACCATTTTTCTCTACAGCCAAAGTGTTTATCACCTAATGGCTTTATGTTTAGCTCAGTGGCTTTTGCTATTTTAATGTGATTTTGATTGTTTTTCCATTGGTTGTATTTAGGTACATTAAGCAATCATTGGTATACAATTTTAGCAAGATGTAAATGTTTACTTGGTGATTGTATTTTATGTACAGCAAGGTTTGCCGATTTAAACCATTTGGTTTAACACCCCAGTGTTTTTTTTTTAATCTATGCCTTTTTCATGGATTTATTTTATTTATTTTTTTGATGATTTTAATGATTTATGGTACTTTGGAAAAAGGCATTACAAGTGTATGGGTGCAGGAAGGCTATTAAATGCAGTAAAAGCATTCTAGAAACAGCAGGGCAACAGTAGAGTAAATGGGAAGAAAGTAGAAATATTTAAACTAAGGTGGGTGTTAGGCAGGAGCATTATGTTTTTGTGGTTGTTCAGTATAGACATGGCTGTGAACTATTGTAAACTGGTGTTTACAGATTGATAATAAACTTTTCTTACACAGGGTGTCTAGCAGGTCTGTAAAGGCAGGGAATTATGTTTAGAAATGGAAAACCTGGAAAAGCCAGGGTAGTTTACAAATAAACCTGGAATTTATGTGAATTCAGTTCAACTTCAAAATACAGTACTGTACTGTATTGTTATTTTGACATCTATCTTACTCAAATTATGTTGCTATAATAGGTAAATAATTAAACTTTTAGGAACAATTCAGTAAATAGTTCACTCCAATAACTGAATTGTTTGTGCACCTATCATATTGCATGTTAGCGACAGGGCTGTGGAGTCGAAGACAAAACCTTGACTCCGACTCCTCAAATTTTATGCTTCCGACTCCGACTCCTTGGCCTATTTGTAACAACTATTTCTACCATCCTTGTAATTTGTATGTTGTAACCTGCATAGGTAAAAAGTAAAACACCGTGGCTATACTGCTACAGCTTTATTAATGATCTGGACGATATTTAAGAACTACAAAAAGATGATAGGCTTGACTTTCAAAGTTTCAATCAAAAGAAAAATAATTTATTAAGAATTCAAGATATTAACTAGAAAACACCATTTACATGTATATCTAAAAGTTCGATCTCAGCATATGAATTTTGTTTAAGCTCATAATCTGATGTGGATCTAAATGATGATCCTACAATTCCTTTTAAAGTAAAGTTATATATTTATGTACATTAAAGAAATGAATACCTTATTAAGGAAAATGGATAAACCTTACATGATTAAGTTATTAAATTAAATTTGCCTTAATCTCACCAAAAACAGGTTGTAGCTAATTGTTTTGTAGCTGAGAGCCTCTGTGCAGTTTTCAACGAAACAAAATTTGATATAATTCAAAATTTCAAATGGTAAAGAAGAGACTATCGTCCAAAATTATAGTGCTATACTGTGCCTGCTACAATAAATTCATAATAATGCTTATAAAATGGAAATAAATTCTTTTAATAATTTAAGAAAATTAGTGGGATCAGTGGAATCACTGCAATGAATATGCCTGAGTTCATATATTTGTTCTTAGGAACAGAATAGCTTCAGTCGGAGTCGGAGTCTGGACAATTTTACCGACTCCACAAGCCGAAATTTCCTCCGACTCCTCGACTCCGACTCCACAGCCCTGGTTAGCGATCAAATAACCAAATATTACAGGTTATACCTACTAATACTGCAAAGAGTATTGTCAGAGATGAATTGTTCTCATTATTACCGGTAAGTGACTTTATTTAAGTGGATTATTCCACATATTAATCATGAGTCATATAGGTGGATCAGGAGTGTGATTTTTCGGATTTTTCCATATTTCCGTTTTTTTTGGTATGCCTTGGTTGACCCACGTGAATCGCACAAATCCGAGGAGAAAAATATGGAGGGGGTGGAGGTGTCACGGTCTTTGCCGATGTTCATCACTAGGCTTGGGGTGGGTCGCAAAAGGGTCTTCAATTTCTTGATTAATAACATTTATATCATCTTTAAATTTCCCAATAGTATATACATATTATTGAAAACCTCTAATTTTGTTATTCTGTCATAATAAATACCAAATTAATGTACCTGGAATTTTTCAAATTTACACCTGGAAAAACCAAGGAATTTTGTTTTGTCTGGCCAGTAGACACCCTGTTACAGGGCTGTTCAATATAACCGGTGACTGCTTCTGTTTATGGTTGGACTCTAATCTGAGCTTCTGATTCTATTGTGTTCAGATCATGTCTTATATGGGTCCAGGGGAGCCAGGTTGCCACTGTCCATCACTCTCTCTCCAGTACTTAAATGAATTCTTTAAAACTTTCAACTGTAAAAGTAGAATAATTTTTCCATGAATTAAGATGAACTTAAACTTAAGTTATTGCCTTTAAGCATGTAGGATGAGTCTGGATGACTGATTAAAGCTTGTGTTTTTCAAATTTGGCCTTTGCACAACTTAGTTTTTGAGATGAAAAAGAGTACTGTATTCAGTTTAATGATTGCTAAATCATCCTGAATGTAATGTTTATAATTAATATCATATTAAAAAGTTATAAAACGTGCTAAAAAATACTTGCAACTTATTAAAACTAACATAACAGCATTAAAACCACAAAAACAACCCTGCCCCCTTTTTGTACTAGTGTTTTTTTTTCAAGCCTACTTTTTGAAAGTCACTTTCAGGTGTTTGTTATTCTGGTTGTACTTAAGTAGTTAGACTTGTTAAATTTAAATTCTAAAAGAAAGGGCATTTTCAGCCTAAAATCCTATAAGGGGTAAAGGCCATAATCTTGATCTCGCCACTTTTGTTTAAAATCTCAATACTGTATATGTATTTTTTGATATGCTGATTAAGGATCTGTTGTCTGCATTTTTATATCTGTATAATTACACTTGTCCAAATGACATCTCAAAAATTTTAATTACTTCTCTAACACTAATTACTCGCCATATATGGTTTTTCTGTTGTACAGTATTTATAATACAATACAGTTCCATTTTTCCAAAACTGGTTTAGAAAAACATCATTGCACAAGGGTGGAGGATTTTCCCATATTTTAAGTTTGGTGGTACAGGTACGTATTTGGATAAACACCTCATTGACCCTAATCTAAGTGTGAAATGTTTTATTACAGTTTCCCCGTGTAGGTGAGACCTTATCGCAACCTATATCATCTGCAGTCACAAGGCCAGGTTTTGGGCATGTGGAAAATCTGTCAACAGAAGAAAAGTACAAGCTAGCATTTAACTTTTCCAGTGCCAAGCCCGAAGACATCAAAGTTAAACTTAAAGGTAAGGTTTTGCAATAAGGATTTTATTAAAAAGGTTTGACTTCTCCTTCTCTCTCACAAAAATTATACAACATATTAAAGGCCTAAAGAAAACATATTTACCTTATGATTTTTTAATTTTTATTTTTTAATAATCAGGAACTCAAAGTAACAATCAGTCTATACAGTAGGTCCTTGATTTACACAGTAGTTAGCTCTTGAAAAACTGGGCTCACAAGATGATCTACTTAATTCATTCAGTAAGTTAATTCTTTTACTTTTTATCCTCTTTAGCCGCTTGGACGGTCGGTCACGTCTCTGTTACACACTGTTGGGAAGTATTGGGCTTGCATTGGCTCCTGAATGTATCTGTCCCTGCTCCAGTGTTGGTCAGGTCTGGTCTTGAAAGAGCTCACACTCGATGCCGTCACAACACACTTTGGCAGTTTGATCCAGGATTTTACAAATAATTCTCACTCCAAAAAAGTTTGCCTTCATAGTTTTCTGGACTTGTGACTCCTTCAACCTTGAGCTGTGACCTTCCGTGGGACAGGCTTCCGCCAGGTCCAGGTATGGACACTCGACTGAGTAGTGCCTTCTGAGATATTTATAAACTTCAATTAGGTCTCTCCTTGCCCACCTGTAGTACAAGCTAGGCAATTGCAAGTGTTCAAATCTCTCTGGGTAATTGAGGTGCCATAGTACAGGCACCAGTCTGGTGGCCCTCCTTTGGACATTTTCAATAACATTTCTCGGAGACTAGACGTGGAAGCACCTGAAGATCATTACAAGGGATAGACCGTCTAGATATCTGAATGACCTACAAATTTAGTTGCTTGATTCATCTTCTTACCATGGCCCGAGAACTTCAGTTCGTTGTCAACATATACCGTACACCCAGGTCCTTTTCACACTCGGTGTCTATTAATGAAGTTTCTTTGTCCCATTGGGACATGTGATGCACCTCCTTACTGTTGGTATGGCCTAGGTGAATCTTAGTAGCCATTTCTTCTACCACTCTTGAAGCTGACGGTGATCTTTCTGTAGCTTTTCAGTCACTTTGGTTCTTAATTTCCGGAATAACTTAGTATTCTCTGCAAACATTTGTATGGAGGAGTGTATAGCTTCTGGCATGTCATTTATGAAATAAACGAACAACAACGGGGCCAGTACACTGCCCTGTGGTACCCTGCTTGTCACGGGTACACATGACTATTATCAAGTACTTTATTACCATCCGTTTATCCATAGTTACACTTCTCCCTCATGTACGCTAAGTTTAAAAGGTGTTGTTGGCCATCAAAATAGTTAGTGATACAGTCTCTCTCTCTCTCTCTTTCCTTTTTTTTTTTACCAACTTGATAATTACAATACTATACTATGATTTTTCACAATATATATTATCAAAATTCATTTACTGTACTTAGGTTATTGCAGAAAGTTTATATAATTTTGTTAAATTGAATCATTTCTTTTATTTACTCTATTTTAGATCGAACCCTGACTGTCACAGGACAAGCTAAGACATCCACTGAGACATCCAGGTCTTCTTACGAGACATCCATAGAGTACCAGCTTCCCGATGGGGTGGATGTTGATGCTCTGGAGTCTTCTCTCTCCCATGATGGGATCCTGACAATAGAGGCACCACAGATTACACCTGAAGAACCTCAGACACCTCAGCCAATTGATATCAACAGGGAATAGAAAGTATAACAGAGTTCCTGCAGGTCTGGGATTAGGGTGTAATCACATACAGAATGGGATTAGTGCTGTTTTTAAAAATGAGAAAGTTCCATCCAAAGCAAGGTCACTTTGACATACAGTAATATTTATAATGAAATCTCAAACATGTTTGTAGTGTCCTAAAGAGATATTCACCACTTGTACCCAATAGGGGGAAGAATGTATTATGCATTTCACCAAGAAAACGTGTTTGGCTGTTCTTGGCGCTTATCCCATTCTGGTCTTGTGCTACTTAATCATACATCATGTTATCTCATGGGACTGATTAGAGGAATCAGAAAGTACAGTATGGGGGCTAAACTTGAATGTGATATAAAGCAGTAGGTGTGATACTGTACTGTACGAGTATGTATTGTTGGGAGGAAGATTTTTAACAAGATATATGTTATACCTAAAGTTAATTAGTGTCTAAGCAAGGGATTGTAGTAGACAATATTGTACATAGAGAAAATGAGAGGATGAAAGGATTCTAAAAATTCCAGGCTATAAGGTGAGGCTACAGTTTAATTGAAGAGTACAATACAGTATTTGATTTAGTATTTGCCTTGTCCTTGGGTCTGAAGAAAAAACATGGCTGCAGACAAGTAAAACAAAATTACGGTGGGTACGGTAGGTAGAGGTCAAATTATCACTATAACACCAGTCATATAACATGCTACCTTACAAGTAGTTATACAAATTTAGTGTATAACTTAAGGTTTGTGATATAAGAGAGAATACATCAGCAGCTACTAATAAGGACCAGTCAAGTAAATTCAAATACAGTAGGCTCTCACCAATAACGACTTCCACAATAACGGTAAGTTACAATAGATACCCATTTTCAATAATAACGTCTGGATTCTCTTGAATAACGGAAATTTCGCGGGAAGCGTCCGAGCACATCAATGATAGCGTTTGTTTGCCGCCATGTTGATGACGTAGTTGTCCGCTCTCACACACGCTCAGTGGAATACAGCGCTGCGCCCACGTGTGAAATTGTTAGGGTCGGCGATCAATAATAGCTTCCGCATTTTTGCCTGTAGGGGCTAGGGGAGGTGGTGGAGGGAGTGATTTGCCACCTGAATGACTGGGAACTTTTAAAGTGAGGAAATTGAACTGTCCTGAGTCTACAGTGCGAAATATTAAGAGGAACTTAGAGGAGACCAAGAAGAGTATTGCGCTGGCTAAAAATATTTCGGTAGTGATGGAAATGCGAGGCGAGCTATGAATGATAAAGGCAATAGAAACAGGTTGTTAGTGATAACAGAGCATTTTCTTGTGAAATGGTTAGCTTGTAGAATGAAAGACAGTGCAAGTGTTAGCGGCCCTCAGATACAGAACAATCATCACACCAAGCACCTCAAAAACTCCCCCAAGCTAAGTGTTATATTACTCAACCTCTTTATTTTGATGATTGAATAGCAATTCTTTTTATTTCAGTGAACAAAAAGTGTTAGGCAGGGCTTCAAGGGAAAAAAATGGATGAAATTCTTGTGGCGGCGGCACCAATAAACCCTTTTTACATGTATTTTAATGTCACACAAATAACGTTTTCGCTAATAACGGTGTTTTTCAGGCACCTATTAAACGTTATTGGTGAGAGCCTACTGTAGGTTTATCTTTTTCAATGCCTTAAAACTAATTCATATTTGAGATGCTCATTTAAACAGTTGTACTGCAAAAAATAGTTTGATAAGGTTTATAAGTGTACTTGTACATGTACAGGTGTACTGCATTTTTAAATTCTACTTTTAACTGAAATCAAGTAAATTTGTTGCAACTTATTATAAGTCTCAGCACAATAAAAATGCAAGAAATTAATTACTGTATAGTTCTTCCATTGGTGTTATATTTGCAAAATGCAATGCAGTATATTTTAAATATTGTGGTATGAAAGTCAAGCACAGTGAGTCCATACTCAAAATCCTTATGATGATTTAGTGTCATGTTTGTTCCATTAATGTTTTGTCTTAAATGGAGGCAAGCTTGGTGCATTAATATTTATTTTTTATAAATGTTAAAAAGATTGTGATTGTTTTTATAAATATTTTCCTGGACGGACTTATTCTGAGAATTTGTTCATTTCTGTTCAGTCACTAGAAAGTGAATTGTGGATATGTCAAGACATAGTTATTCAAGACAGTTATTATGATTAAAAAATAAAAAAAGTTGGAAATAAATGAAGAAAGTCAACTAGGTCAGTAATTATCAAGCACTGTATGTGTAGTCTTCATTTATCACAAATTCATGTACAGTGACCCCTCGTTTAACGAACACCTCGGTTAACGTAATTTCGATTAACGAACTGCCTTCCATAAGGATCTTCAATTCGGTTAACGAAAGTTCTTCGAACCGACCTCAACATGTTTTCGCTTGCACTGACCGGGCAACCAGCTTTAGTATCAGTCCGCCAATACAATAATCGGTTCTAGGGCTTAAATTCCTTACTATTTTAGTAAATATCAAGAAGTTTATACTATTCAATAATTTTAAAAGTTTAATATTCAATTTTTTAGTCATTTTAACAATTACTGAACATAATTGAAGGTAAAGTGACTAGTTTAATGCGTGGCATCCAGCCTCTTAACACAGCAAACAGGAGTTAGTCTCTCTGTTTTCACTGGAGATAACATCTTGCTTGAGAGACTCTTCAACTAAACGCTTTTTTTCTGTGTTTCCAAGCAAATTATTGGTCATTTTGAAATATATTTTACATATTGACAATATATAATGCAGTGCAGTGTTGATTTAAAGAAAATAATCTTGAATTACACCAAGAGAGCTAAAATTTATGGGTGAAATGGCGCCATGGGGTGACTTCTCTTCCACCCCAATGCCTTCTCTTCTTCCTTCTCCTCCACCCCCATTCTAAATCCCATCATCATCATCATCCAGGAGCCTTCTACATACACACCTCAAAGTAAGTGAACTTTTCTACCATTTTTGTTGAATTTAGGAAATTTTCGGTGAGCTGGAACCAATTACCCAAAAACCCATTGAAACAATGGTTTCGGTAAACGAACTTTTCGGTTAACGAACGACCTTCTGGAACGGATTGAGTTCGTTAACGGAGGGGTCACTGTACTGTATTACTGTACTGTATATACAGTATTACCTTAAATGTAATGTATACTATACAATGTTATAAAAATCATTATACACATTAACCAAATCACTTGACACAATTCAACTCGCTTTACAAATTATTTAAATGATTGATGATTGTGCTGTACTGTACATTATTCTCTCCTTTGTGTAAATTTTTAGAATCACCATACTGTACATGTTGCTCTATTTAAGACCTGACTTGACCAACACTATAGTGCATTTTTTCTCAGCTCAGAAGAGATGCCCTGCCCCCTCCTCAAGAGTTACAGCTGATTGGCTGTTGCAAACCTGTCAGATTTCGTCCAGAAGCAACGATATATTTCTAAATGAATTTATCCATAATCGTTGGGATGTCAGTTTCTGACGAGAAAGATATTAAGTTCAATTATAAAAAAATACTTGCATTCATTATTTCAAACATAAGTATGTAGGAAGTTTATCAAGAATTATACATGAATTAACTGTTGAACTTAGGTAGCAAGTTCACACTTTTGGAGGATGCATTTAATATACTGTATATACTTATTTTTACCCATAATAAGGCATACCAAGACAAATTACGTGTCAGTAATACTACGTTATGCAAAAACTAACATTTAGAATATCAGAATCACATTAAAATATTACACGACCTTAGCAGAGGTGGAAAAAATTTGAAGGTGTTTGCAGTCATGTTAGCCGGAACAATTGGTGCAGAGCGCTTCCGGGGATGAGAGATTTCCAGCTAACCAGACGACTTTCTCAAATCCAGAAAAATTCCTTATCCCTGGAATCTTTTCCGGTTACTGTGAATAGTTTCCGAGTGTCTAAACTAGACATCTTGCACACACAGAAACTAGCCCACTACCCCAGAATGTTTCTGGGTGCTGGGGATGTTTTCCTCAAGTCAAAACTACCGGAATCCGTAAATGCAGTTCAAATTTAGTTAGAAACTCCATTTCTTTACTATAATAATCCAGAATAGTTTATCTAAAAGTTTAGTAAAATAAATATACGGTATTTGAAAATAAAAAATCTTTATGATACGGGCGTGAATGAAGTTGTGTGTTACAGCAAAGACTGGTATTTTCCACTCGCAGGGAGCTGTGGGAATTTAGTGGGTCTCATGTACCTGACCTGACGCAATGTCAGGTTGAGGTAGGGTGGGGGATTAGTGGTCGCATATTACTGACCTAATGGAATGTCAGGTCACCCTTTCTTGGCCAGGGGATTAGTGGGTCTCATGACATGAAGATGTCGTGAATAAACACGAAATCTGGAGTATTTTTAGAGGGATTGTAATAAGTATAAGTATAAATGAGCAAAGTTGTATCCCTTCAACATTACATTATATATCATTTTAAAATATGGAGTGAGAAAGCAGAAAGGTGTGGGTGATTAGAGAGATGGAGTGGTAACATACACCAGTGTTGCCAAGCGATAAGCTCCTCAACAGCTGATCTTTTAATTCAGCTCCATGCAGTCATACAACAAGACCCTCACTGGATGCTTGTTGTTTTAATTCCCGTGTGTGTGTGTTTTGAGTTTGCCAAGCACATTGTAGGATTCGAAGAAGTTGATGAAGAGTTTGTTCGGGAGTCAGGTGGTGAGGTGACATGCCAAGACACTTATACAGCACACACATTAGCAGCACTATTAAACCATTGTCTTATAACATTTTACATTATAATTTTTATTTTAAAATTAATTGATACACGATTCTGTTTCTGAAAAAAAAGTTAATATAAAGTAATGGTGTGTTTTCCCAATTTGTAAAAATTCTTAAGCAAATTTCTGAAGCATTGGTGTTGTTCTGATATACCAAGAGGTGCGGAGATATGTCGTGACCAAAGTGTTTTGAAGAGATTTCGCATGGACCACAATGCTTTAAATAT